AATATATAGTTAACAGCTTATTAATTCGCTTTGGAAGCCAAATGCAGCTGCGGAGCCCGTCTGGGCGGATGAGCGTGTTGACCTTGGCACACTTCACGTCATACAGCTGCTTGACAGCCTCCTTGATCTTGGGCTTGGTTGCCTTGAGGTCCACCAAAAACACGAGGGTGTTGATCTCCTCGATCTTCTTCATTGCCGACTCGGTGGTCACAGGGCACTGAATGATGCGGTACTTGTCGAGCTTGTCGCCCCGGGATTCGACCGACTTGCGCGGGTACTTGGGGTCGCGTGCTTTGATCAAAGTCTTCGGCCGGTAGAACCGGACCTTGGTGCGCACCTTTCGGGCCTTCTTGCTCACGGTGCCCTTCACTGCCTTCGCGGCCTTCTCCGCCTTCTTGGCCTTGTCCCCCTTTGGCGCCATGCTGCCCCACCACACGTGCTACACTGCCAGCTTGAACCGCGGCAACCTCGGAAACGAGCTCCATGGCCTGACCTCTCTGTGATGCCATGCCCCGCTGTCCTGCAAAGTTGACGGACTGACTCATTGCATGGCAACAGTCAAAAACATGTTCGCTCCAAAGGCAGCTACTGTGTGAGCAGGCTCCGAATGAGGTCGCGGCGGGTATGAGAAATGTCTGACCATTGGCTTCTGATCCCGGTGCACCTGAGTAATTTGCCACCGCTGCCAAAAATCCCGACTATTACTACTGTTGCTAACGCTTAGATGTGATTGGGTCACACCCGCACATGTCTCGACATATAACGCATACAACTCTGTAACCTTATACCTGATCTTGACTGAAACGCACCATGCCATCGGGTCAAACCTCTTGGCTCCAAGCCACAAAAGTGCTCTCAGGAGTCGTCTGGGTCTGGGCCGGCTCTGCATGCTTCTTGGGGCCTGCCTGCGTCTGGGTTCCTTGAAAGCTTTCCTCGCATCGCTGCAAGGCTTCGTATGCTGAATGCTTGCTTTCGGACGGCGGTGATCGCCGTGCCTGGGCTGGATGCTGCAAATTGCTTGCCTGGGGTATGCTTGGCTTGGACTCTCGACGGGTGTCAGTCCCGGTTTGCATGCTGCTACGACCGCCTTCGCCGACGTGTGTCCACAATTCTCGTGTTCCATTTGCCTCGGAGCTGCACGCCGCATCTGCAGCAGGCCACTCATTGAAAAAGCAAGGATTGACTGGCTGGTCTGGTTCAGTGTTGTTCGTTGTGTTGTGCTGCCCGGACAAACTCGAGCTTTGTCTGGGGATTGTTGCGCGCTGCAGCTGCCCCAGCGTCACACCATGTTCCTCCACACCCCATGTCCACGCAAGACTCATTGCCACCGGAACGGTCTGCACATGCCAAGAGTCCTGCTGCCAGGCCTGCCAGCTCTCTTTTGCTAGCTGTCCTGCGTGTTCGTTGGAGTCGAACAAGGAGACGGACTGCTGATAACTAACTGCCGGGACATGGCAACGACACAAGCACAAGCGGCTGCACAGTTGCACCTAGTCTTCGTCGCTCACGATAGCCTCGGCAGAATCGATATCGTCCCTCCCCCCAGTCTCAACAAAAACATCAACAACTGAACTGTGTTTTCGGTTCTGCTTCATTCCCCCGGATGCAGAAATCCCTGACGCGTAACCCTTCCACGTTGCGAAGAACTGTTGCCTGACGGAAATTTTCGGCATAACTGGATGTTGTCCTTTCCGTGAGCCCTGCGCGCCTTCCGCTTGCGATCATTGCGATCTTGCAGTCGATGTCATGGAAAATGTTGCGCTGCTTTCTGTTCTCTTAAAAAAAGAACTAACTGTAACTAGCTGTTCAGTCAAATGCCCTGACGCCCATATGAAATAAGATTTCATCCACGCCGTTAAACAACTTCACCTGTCTCGTTTGCTCAGCGTGCTGCATGTTGAAAGCCGCAACCTGCGCCCTACAAAGCCGTGTCCTGCGCCGGAAGCGATTCGCCTGCTCGTCCCTGAAGCTCCAAACTCGGCCCCTCCCATTCCTCTCAGCCTCAATGTGTTTCCCGTTTTTCTGTTCCTGATTCGGCGAAGATTCGAGGCTGTCGCGGGTCCCCCATGCATGGGGCGTCGCTTTGGACTACTTGGGGAATCTTGAAAATAGTTTCCCAGTGTGCAAATACAGGAAAATAAGCGAATCCAGTGAAATATCAGAGCCCAAGGCGGGCCTGTGCCTGATTCCCACTATAACCATAATTAAAACGTGACAAAGCGCAAGAACTCCCACAGTATACATGTCTGGCTTGAAAGAGGTTGGGGGTCATCACAAGCTCCAGAAGGCTTTCGCGACACTCACATTGACATGACGTCGAGGTAAAGTTTCGAGAATCGGAGGCTTTGACGAGCATCAGCCCACAGCAAGAAGCAAGAGGCGGAAAGCCATAGTGGAACAGCTTAAAACATGAAGCAATTGCACCAAGCCAAAACTTCTGAAGCAGATGCGATGCAAATGGCAAGAACACACCGACGAGGCAAACACATGATGCGAAGGGCAACCAAAAGTAACAACAAGCTGCTGTACACGGGGGTGGGAAGAACAAGGACAACTTCCGAAGAACTTACTGCATTCGGTGAGCCTCGGAAAGGCGAAGTGGGCAGAAGAGATCTGTCATCGAGTCTGCTGTCAAGGTCCTTGACACGCCCATCTTCAAGCCGGAAACGCAACTTCGGATGCACACAGAAGTTCACGGTGCTGCATACTGATAGGCCGAATTGCCAAGTGGCGGTTTTGAGTGACTGAGACTCCTCATGCGTTTCTCTTTGCCTGTCTTCTTGCTGCGGCTCTTTCGTTGAGATCTGCTCTGCCGGCTTCGGATGCTCCACTGCTGGCATTGCGCCCATCTCCTGTATTCGCGACGGGCCTGTGGGAGCCTGGCAGCCACACCAGAATGGGGACCGCAATCAATCCTGTCGTGTTTCCAACCTCCCGCACTTCAACGTCTCCTGGCTGAATCCGTCTTGCTGACACCTGCGGGCACCAGAACCCTTGCATACCGTGGTGCATCTCCAACCCAATTCCACCCAACAGTGCTTGCCTGAGGAGTGCCAAGCGAATCTATCTGTGACCTTCGTTCTTCCAGGAGACCGTCTGCACCCAACAACGAGTAACCACTATCGCAACCACGTTGTTGGTTATTGCCTCTTGGCAGGTCCTGGCACTTTCCACTTGGATCGTGGCCCGCGACCCGGCATCTGAGGCAAAAGCGCAGTAGGTGAGACCCGCGGCGACGACTTTGGCGCAGTGACAGCCTCTCCATGCTCTCGGCTGCGCATTGCCTATCCGAACTACTCCGTCTGTCAACGACCAACTGTTTGTTTGGAAACATAAGCACCATTCAAGCGCCCCCTCACAAGAACACCCTCCATCCAGCCAGGCACCCTACCCCGCCCTCCATCCAAGCGCCTTTCCTCACAAGAAGACCCTCCATCCAGCCAAGCACCCTCATCCAACCCCCCCCCCCCTCCATCCAACGTTTCCCCTCACAAGAAAACCCTCCATCCAGCTAGGCACCCTCCATCCAAGGCACCCCACCCCCCCCCCTTCCATCCAGCTAAGCACCCTCCTCCAACCCCCCTCCATCCAGCTCTCACAAAAGACCCTCCATCCAGCCAGGCACCCTCCCTCCATCCAAGCTCCATCCAAGCGCCTCCCTCACAAGAAGACCCTGCAGCCGGCCAGGCACCCTCCAGCCAACCCCCCCCCTCCATCCAACCCATCCAAGCGCCTCCCCTCACAAAAAGACTCCATCCAGCCAGGCGCCCTCCAGCCAACTCCCCCCCTCCATCCACCTCACAAGAAAAACCCTCCATCCAGCCATTCGGGTTTCACAGGTTTAAAGAACTAGTTTTAGAGCCTTTGGGGTAGCACACTCTTGGGTTTTACAGTTTTGAAGCTGTTAAACTTTCGGGTTTTACAGGTTTGAAGCTGTTAAACTTTCGGGTTTCACAGGTTCACGGCCTTTGTGGTAGTAGACTTTGGGGTTTCACAAGTTTGAAGCTTTCGGCGTAGTACAGTATTTGGTCTACTGCTTTGAAGTCAAACCTTCAATAGCATAGAGGCCCTTCACTTTTAGGTTTTATTTGGTCATAAAGAGATGTAGTAGATCGTAGCATCCGGGCGAAAGGCAATACGTACTGCAACTGACTTATTTCTAAAAATGAATGTGTTTCCTTATAGGTTGTCCATCAGATGGAAACCATGCAAAATATTGCAAAAATGTAAGCTCGTTGGCTGGTTGTGATATGGTGGTTTCGGGTTTTTACGCAAATCCCTCCCAGTTGCAGATGGGGTTTATGGTTGTAGTATCGGGCATCCAGTTGTAGTGGGGACTAGTCGCCCATCCAACCCCAGCCCTCCACGCAAGCGCCACGGGTTTGGATGGAGGCGAGGCAGGTAAGTGCGCTTGGTTGGATGCGGGTGGGTGGAGGGAGGAGCTAGATGAGGGGTGGATGAAGGGGGGGGTGGAGGCGGGCCTTGGCTAGAAGCAGGCAAATGCTGGAGGGCTGGAGCTCCACGGAGACGACGTGGAGGGTGGATGGAGGGGGTGGATGGTGGAGGGAGGGGCTTGGATGGGGGGCAAAGGTGCTGGAGACTGGGGAGGGCTGGATGGAGGTGGGTGGACGCTGGATGGAGGCGGGGTGGGTGGATGGAGGAGCTGGCTGGGGATGGAGAGGGCTGGATGCTCAAGCATTGCGATTGGGGTCATTGGCCATTGGCTCAGCCCCTTGCCACTTCAGACATAGCAGGTACGTGTGGAGCCGAAGAAAGAAAGCTCGACGGGGTAAATACAGTCTTGAGTTCGTCAGTGTCTCACTGATGACCTTCTCCAGATAATCTACGACTACGATGCCATCTGCAGGTGGGCTGAGTGGAGGGTGGATGGAGGGGAGAGGCGGGTAAGTGCTGGAGGGCTGGATGGAGTGGGTGGATACAGGGGGAGGGTGGATGGAGGGGTGGATGGAGGCGGGGTGGGTGGGTGGGTGGAGGAGAAAATGGGGGTGGATGGAGGCTGATCGAGGCGCAGGTGGCTGGAAGTGGATGGAGGTTGCTGGATGGTGGGTGGGCTGGAAAAGCGTGGTAAACCCAAACCGAACCGCACCGAACGGTAAATGCCGCAGTAAACCCAAACCGCACCGAACCGAACCACAACACCCATGATTATTTTTTCTCGGCGCGAACAAGGCAGGACACGCCTATAAATACTTGTCACCAGACGCCACTAAAATCGCTAGGAGCGCATTGCGACGTGCACATTTTTGCGAGCTTCGCAAAGATCCGCGAATGTGGGCTGATGCAGGTTGCAGGTTCCGCAAACAGGCGAGTTGGCCTGCTATTGTACCGGTGCGTCTCGAAGGCCGCACAGCACCGCGCGGATGCGGGCCAGCGGCCAGGCTCGCGTGCATCATTGGAAGTATCATTGGACGTGTTCTTGCGCGACATCCATCTGTGCACGTGAGTGAAGCGGCTTTTCGTCCTCGACAGTGAGTGCCGTGGCGCGCTCCTGCACAAGGTGGGGTACTCCTTATCCCGAAATGCCTGTTATCGTTTTTTTCCTTCTTATCCTTTTTCCAAGGAATATGCATAGTTTATATTACAACAACATTGGTACTCACGCTAGTACTAGTACTAGTACTAGTACTAGTACTAGTACTAGTACTAGAACTAGTACTAGTACTAGTACTAGTACTAGTACCAGTACTACTACTAGTACTAGTAATATGACTAGTACTAGTACTAGTACTAGTACTGGTACTAATAAAAATAATACTAATAAAAAATAATAATGGTAATAATAATAATAGCAACAGTAATAGTAACAGTAATAGTAATAGGAATAGGAATCGTAGTAGCAGTAGTAGTAGTAGTAGTAGTAGTAGTAGTAATCGTCGTCGTGGTGGTGGTGGTGGTAGTGGCTGTAGTAGTGGCTGTAGTAGTAGTAGTAGTAGCAGTAGTAGTAGCAGTAGTAGTAGTAGTAGTGGTAGTAGTGGTAGTAGTGGTAGTAGTAGTAGTAGTGGTGGTGGTAGTAGCAACAGTAGCAATAGCAGTAGAAGTAAAAGTGGTAGCAACCGTAGCAGTAGTAGTAGTCGTCGTCGTCGTAGTAGTAGTAGTAGTACTAGTACTAGTCGTAGTAGTAGTAGTAGTAGTAGTAGTAGTAGTAGTACTAGTACTAGTACTAGTAGCAGTAGCAGTAGCAGTAGGAGGAGTAGTAGTAGTAGTAGTAGTAGTAGTACTAGTAGTAGTAGTAATAGTAGCAGCACTGTAGCAGCGGTAGTATCAATAGTAATAAGAAAAGCAGCAGCAGCAGCAGCAGCAGCAGCAGCACCAGCACCAGCAGTAGCAGCAGTAATGGCAGCGGTATGGATGTAGGAAGCAGAAGTGATTTCAACCGCCGCCCGGACGGTAAGGGGGTACATACAGGAAGCCGGCCACATAAGAAATGACATACGGCTTACCTCGGATGACTCGTTTTGCGACAACGTTTATTTAATCTCTGGAACACAGCTATGCGCAGCTCGGGGGTACGAGTGCAAGCCCAACAGAGAAAACAGAGTGAGAGCACTTCTGCAGAGTTCGGATGTGCGTGGCATGGCTCATTGCTGATGGAAGTCGCAATCCTCCCAACGTCCCAACCCAGGTCATGGTGGTGACGGCCCTTGCGGCCCTAAGCCTGGCGAGGGACCGCGGCGGCCGAAGAGAGTCGGCGAGAGGACGGTAAAAATCCTCGCACGCATATGCACGAAATGGGCAAGGAAAAAAAGTCTCGGCAGGCGGAAAAAGGTGTGTGAGAGAAACAAAAACAAATAACAGAACGATAACGAAAACGATAATGCTCTGGCCAGCACACGCTGTTTTGCAGGGGGTTACACATTCTTTACTTACAGCAGGAGCTTTCAGGAATGGTCCATGTCGGGAGATCAACGGATGCCGGAATTCTTAAGTCAAGCACTGGTCTTATGTGACCTTATCGTTTTTTTTCTTATCGTCCTTCCATGGAAAACGCTTGAAACGACAAGCAGGGACCGGTCAGCACTGAAGCCCGGGGTTATTATACAATCCCAGGTGCTGTCGGAGGCAGGCGGCGATCCGGCGTGTCTGACCCAGGGGCAGCGGGATGATAGGCAAAGTAACTGGCTTGTGCTTGGGTGAACGAGCAAGATATTATGAGACTGGGCAAAAAACAGTGTCCCGACAAAAGCTGCCAATGCAAAAGGAACGCTTCAAGCACAAAGCGGCCGGCAAACCTGCAGTGCTTGCCACGTGTGCGGGACAAGCGTAATCGAGGGATATCGAGGGCCCCGGTGGAAAAACCGAGTGTTGCTGCCACCCTGCGCAACAACTTCAGCGATGCTGGGCTGCCACGGGGAGCTCCAGCGGCCAACGAGAAAATTAACAAGGAAACCTGTCCAGGAGAATTCTTGTGTTTAGCGGCCCCTGATTGCCCGTTGCCTGGCCGCACTACTCGAACAAAGGCAAGCGCCCCTCCCACCGACGAGATTGCGCGAACTAGCTCAGAGGCTCCCGCTCCGCGCTTGATGACAGCAATGCCGCACGTCGGGCGTTCTGGCGGGACACGTTGCCAGTCATCCACGCACGTGCGCCTGCAGCCGCCGCCAGACTCCTCCAAGCCTTGCGTGGTGACGCCGCCCTTCCCTGCACTGCCGCCGGCTACGATGCCCCGGACTGGGATACGCACGGTGCTGGCCCGCCCCCGCACAACTCATGTCGCCCCGGCGAGGACTCCGGGCCCTGGCCGTTTAGAGGCTGGCAACGACTCGTCGCCGCCCGAGCATGCGATGGGCGTGCGTTCAACAGGCGAGAACGGTCCGCGTCAGCAGCTACGGCCTAGCTACGGCATGCGGGGAGGAGGCGCGACCAAGGGCAGGCCGCAGCCACGGGGCTTTGGGCTACGAGTCCCAATGCGCATCATTGCGCATCGGCGAGGACCTCATGCAGCTCCGGCACGGGTCCGTCGCTCAGGGCGCCCGCGGGCGGCAGATCCAGCAAAGAGGCGGCGTAGGCGCGCTGGGCAGCGGGCCAGGACCAGCGCGCGACCCAGGCAGCGATCGCGGCCCGCCTGGAGGCGGCGAGCGGTGGCGGCTTTTCGCCTCCCGAGCAGGCGCAGGAGCCAACCTCGACACCGACAGCGGCAGGGTCGGGGGCGCGCCAGCTTTGCCTGCATGGGTATGTCTGATGCCGTTTGCGGCAAGGGCGCAACCGGGATCGACATCGGCACGGGGGTGGGTGTCGCCGAGCCGC